AGGCCAAATACACCGAGTGTACAAGGAAGAATTTTCTTTATTTATTTGCACTAACTGTTCAAAGTTGTTGGGGATTCCTCCAAGTCCAAATACACCGAGGCCAAAAAATCTCGATGTGACGGTGTAACAATAGGACCAAGACTAAGAAAGAGGATCTGCAGGTGGTGCCTTGTGTCGAAAGTCTTCCCGACGAGATGAGGTCAGGCGGCGTGTCCCGTGAAGTTATAGCCACGGCGGTACAAGATGATTTGGCGGATCAAATGGTGTAGCCCAACGAAGGAAATATCTGCGGTTTGAACCTTGTGTCGAAAGTCTTCCCGACAGGAGGTCGAGCGGCGCGTCCTGCAAAGAGTGTGCGGCGGTGCAAGATGGTTAGCAGATAAAAGGAAAAATGGATTACCGCTGGAGGGGAGGTCGGAAATTGTGTGGTCCTTGGTTGAGGGGAGGTTTGTTGGGGATTCCTCCAAGTCCCACACCGGAGGGAGAAGAAAAAAATGGACCAAAATATATAGGTTCACCCAACCCCATTAGTATGAGGCCTTTTGGGAGGTGCCCAAAAATAAATCCGTGAGGGCTTGGCCCAGAGCGGACAATATCATACTAATGCGGGGTTGGGGTGAGGGCACGCGCAGTCCCAACAAAAGTTTGAATTGGTTTTTACATTTCCCACGTCGGACAATAAAGAACAACCCATTAATGCCAAGGACAAATTTACTACGGGTGGGAGAGTGAGGTGGAGAGTCTTTTGGATCCACTCCTATTCTAAGAAGAATAATGTATATCTAGCGTCTTTAGAATTTAGCGACTATACTAGTTTGTGGTAGGACAAAATAGCAAAGCATAAGAGACGTGAAGGAGACAAACCCATAGAAACATGACATGGGAAGAAATCCTTAACAAAAGAGAAGTTTGTCCCTCGTTAAGGTTGATACTAGAGTAAACTCCACAACCACATAGAAGAATTTACTCAAAAGCACAGTTGTTGCGGCGCCTATGGGAGGCCGGACGCCAGAGTACCTTCAAATCGCCTAGGCAATTTGCGCCCACCTAGGCATCCATTAGAAGAGTAGGGTATGATGAGCTTGATAATTTTCTAGGAAGTAAAAGCATATAGTATGAATAATATAATTATAAAGTACATTAATACCAACATTTGCTACTTAAGGCCATAAAAAATCTGAAAACTATGAATAAATGAAGTGTATTTAAAAATAATTTAAAATTAAAGTCACACTAAGTCAAAGTGTAAATATTTTTTCTTGATAGTATCTGTGAGTTCCTATAACTTAAATTTAAATAAATGAATACCAAAAAAATATTGAAAATCTATAAATAAAAAAATAAATCAAAAGAACAGGAGATGAGCCACGGAACAAGGTGAGCAAAAAACAGGGAATGAGCAAGTCTATTCAAATAAATAAATACCATAATAAAAGCTACTTCGTATCTTTCTATTTAAAAATATAAAAATGTATCAAGAAATAATGGGAAATACAGTATTAAGAAACGATCCCTGAACTAAGGATATTTCTCTGTTTGTACGATGAGGAAATGACCTGTTTCCGCACCCGCCTAGGGTTATAAACAGTAAGCGCAGGTTGAAGTCTTTTTTTTCATCGCCAAATCCATTGGGCATCACCTTATTGCCAAACAGATGCCATAGAAAAGCATGTTGCTTCATCACCTAATCCTTTAGGCATCACCTATCTGGCGTATCTAGAAAACCGCCAAACCGCCTAGGTGACAACTAGACGACGCCTAGATAAGTATGCTCAAAGAGTCAAACCGTAGAGGAATACAACCTAGAATTTCAAAAGGTCTTAGTGAAGATAGGGATGGAAGAGAATTCAGAGGCCGCCATGCCTAAATTTGGTAAAGGACTTACTCAAACTTAGAGATAAAGTAGAAAGGAACACTATTTGGATTTTGATGATCTTTTTCAGGTTGCTATCACGGAAGAACACAAGCTCCAATGCAAGAAGGCAAGGAGCAAAACAGCTTACACTCCGAGGAAAGCAAAGGAGGATTTCAAGGCAAAACTGAGGACTGATTTTGAATTCCCATGCACATCCCTCATATAAGGCTTTATCGGCTTATCGGCCTTATCCTCAAAGCCATCAACTAATGAGGAAAAGGCTAGCAAGACCAAGTGCTCCAAATGTTTAGGAAATGACCACTATGCCGGAGATAGGACACTACCAAGAGGATAGAGACTAGGAAGAGCTACCAAATGCACCCAACGATGGTCATTAGCCCAAAAGGGGAGCTAGATTCTGAAGGAAAACAAGATCAACATTAGGATGAACACTACCGAGAAGACGAAACTAGGAAGAGTATGGAGAAAGTACCAAAAAAGGAGTTCCATATTTTTATCCACAAAATAAGAGTTACAATGCCAATAAAATCAACATATATTACTAAAAAACACTATGGAATAACAATATACAGTACTAGAATGACACAGGGCAGTAGTCCTATTTTAGGGTTAAAAATATGGAACTCTTATTTTGGTAATTTCTCTATGTTTTTCTCTATGAGCCTTTGGTCGTACAGATAGTGTTACACATTTAAGTTCTTAGGGACAAAACCCGAAGAGAATAACAAGAAGGAAATTTTCTGCCAAGATATCTCAATTAGGGAAACCCAGATTTTTCTTAGGGACGAAACCCAAAGAGAATAACTCAATTATATATTCACATATATGTGCTTCACGTGATATCCAACACCCTAAACACATAAATAATAGTATATTAATAAAAGAAATCTTGAAAAGATCAATAATAACAAAACTAAATAATGCTTTGCACTCCAAACTTAATGTCTTTTGGTTAAAAATCCAAACTGAAATTAAAACATCATTAGGATGTAAAAAGTGTTGCAAAACATCTAGCAAAAAATGAAAGAGAAAAGACAGAAACAGTATTGGTTTATGTTGTCGAAGACTACATGCTGAAATTAAAACATACTTCGCAATTTTGCATCATTAGAGTAAAAAAATTTGAAACAGAGAAGAAGTCAACTGTGAGATTATGAGGTATGTGGAGACACATTATAGAGTGAAGGAAGTGAGAAAAGAGTTGATTGAATGAAGAGTATACCAGGAGATGTGATTCAGAGATGATGAAGACGCAAGAAAAGTACTCAGGTGTGAGGCTAGTGTTAAGTTACGTATTGTTTTTTTAAAAAAACAGTATCCGACCTGACCCGGACACCCGGTTTTATATGCAATAAACCCACCTCTTCTCGGCGGCGCAGGAAGCATACGGCTTGCGACTTACGTAAGGCTAATGGATACGCAAGAAACATGTGCCTCACGGATGGAGCTGCACACTTAGACCTGTCAAAAAATGACCCGACCTGTTTTTGACCCGAGACCCGACCCGAAAATACTGGGTTTTGAACAAACATTTTGCTGACCGAACCCAAAGTTGACCGAACCCGAAATGACCCGCTAAAAATGGGTCAAACCTGACCGAACCCGAACCCGACCTGACTGACCCGCTAATCTAAGATTTTTTCAGAATCATACATTTTAATATGAAATATAGTGTTATAAAAATAAGATTATGATTATATTTCTTTGCTTACTACTCATTTTTTTGTATAAATTTATAACATCATAACAAATTTCAATGATGTCGCATACTTATCTTACATTTTTTCAAAATTTCTACATATTGAATTTTTTTTATTCGTAATATTGACACTAAGTCATAAAAATTACTTAAAATTTCAAAAAAATAAATGAAACTCATAACCCGTTGGGTCAACCCGAACCCGATGACATTGGGTCATGAACATGTAGTTATCAACCCGAACCCGAACTTAACCGAACCCGAAGTAACCTAAACCCAAGGTGACCGAACCCGAACCCGACCTGACCGACCGATTTGCCAGGTCTATGCACACTGGCGTCCTGAGGCATTTTACTAATTGCATGGCTGCATCTTAGGCGCGCTTCTTAGGCTGTGCGGTATTGGGCTCGGGGTCGTTCAGCGTGCCACGCAGTACCAACGTGAACATTGCCCCCGCCCCCGCCCCCGCCCGCCGTTTTTAGTTTCTAATATCAATTTTTTTTTTTTAATTTAAGCTCTTAGTTTCTAATTTTGTTTTTGTTTAATTTTAAAAATTATATAAAATGTTTAAAAAGAAATATTTTAAAAAATTAAAAAAAGAATGGGGATGGAATGAGGATCGACACTCCTAAATGGGGATGAAATGAGGAAAGCTGATGTGACGCTAAGTTGGAAGTGGGGATGATGGAGATGGCAAATCCCACACAATATGGGCTAAACCAAGGTCTCGATGCCGATGATGATGTGGGTGGAGGAGTTGCAAGTGGTTTTTATCCAAATTCCAAAACACCAGCCGGTGATGATCATCATTAGCATTCTTCTATCTGATGCAGTTCACTCCTTTTTTTTTTCAGGACGCACTATTTGACCTTATGGGATGCTAGAATTGTTTAACTCATTATTGTGAAGTTGTTGAATTTTAATATTAACTTCGTAGCAGTTTACTAAATGCTTTCTTATGTTATTTAAAGTGTTTTATGTTATCTTAAAAAGTCTTACTTATAGTTTGCATGTCAACCCGAGTCTAACGTCTACAAACGCATTGAGCTTACGCATTATGCACTACCTAATAATGCTAGTATAACCTCAAGTCTGACGCCACGGACAACTGTCAAAAATCTCACAGAAACTGTCTGAGTGAATAATTATGCCCGTACATCTGAAATTTACAGACGGTTGTCATCCATGGTGTCAAACTTGGGGCCGTGGTAGCAAGACTCTAACCTAATCATCAGATAATACAGTATATATTTAATACTTTCAAATTTGCAAAAAAAACTCTATTAAAATAATATTTTTTTACTATCTAGTACGGAATATTAACTATAAAGATTTGTTAGAAGGCAATGAGAATTTAAAGAAGACTCAGTTTAAACTAAAAATAACAAATCTGACATCCATTTTGGGGTAGGTGGTATGACTTACACTTCTATCAACTGCATCAAGATTGCCCGAAGCTAAGTGCTTATTCGTAGACAACTTGAACTGTGCACGAGCATGAGGACTAATAGGAACACTTGATTTTGCTAACTCGGCCGCGTAATGAGAATAATTTCCAACTGTAAGGAGGGAAATAAATAGTCATATGAAATTATGAATGCCTTGCATCAAAATGAAAAGCAAGCACAGATGTTAAACAATCTTGATGCTAGACAATTATAATGTATTGGTCTTAGATTTCCTGTATATATGAAGTTGGCATATAATTTTGGATTATTGAGACACGGAGCCATCATAACCAGAGCAACCAAATTCATGGTTTTTCAATGCAGGCCATGGAAAATAGCATGGCAAATTGTGTGCAAGCTAACAGGAAAAATTTGAGCCAGCACTATATGGCAGAATTTTGTGCAAGCTAACAGAAAAAAATGCAGTTAGTTTAAGAGAGTCAGATGTACACTTCAATCAAAGAAGTACAACCGGTTCACCTGACCTTGATGCTTTTCTGTATTCATCGGAGCTTTCTGGCTGCTCTCTCCATGCAGTGGCTGTTAACATTTCAACTAAATCAAACTACTATAGAGGAGGAAAAATATTGCTAGTTAGAGGATAAATCAGTCGCAGCATATGTGAAAAACATTATAACTATCAAACTGTAGACCAGAGTGTATCAGGGAAGAATAGATAGTGGCGAGCGCCAACGGTTTGCTATAAACCAACATACCCGTTGATGTGTTCTACTTGATTGCGCCTGCTGGTATTTTAGGATGGTCCAATCAAATATGTAATCAAACTCATACCCTGCATTAAATACAAAATATCACATGATATTTAGTGCAATAAATGAAGGCAAAGTGGCAAACAGAGAGACGAAGAAAAACCACATTACATCAAAAGGAATATCAAATCAATATACAAATGAAGAATCATGACATGCAGATGTTGCATTTCACTATCCTTAAGGTACGCCATTGAAAAAATCCGTTGCAAATCAATTTAAGACTAACCTTCCCTAGTGAAGAGCTCTTTGAACAGGCGTTTCACAAAACCATAGTCAGGCCGCTGATCAAATGTCATTGAATGACAGTAATGGAAAAATGAGGCAAACTCTACCGGATGAGACTTGCACAAGACCTTCGGTTCAGAAAGAAAGCAAAATAAGAATGTTAAGCATAACTGGACATCTCAAAGCCAAAAAGAATTGATACACACACCTCAATAGGAGTTGATAACTTCTTCTCACATATTTTATCATATTTTTGCTTCTTAGTAGCAGCTTTGAGACCCTGCCATGGTAAGCTGCTCTAAAAATTCACAAGTTACTTCACGTCCAAGGTTAAATCATGCATATTAACAGCATATATTAAGAGAAACATTGAAAAGAAAATATCAAAGATTGTTACCTCCCTCTCAAGAAATAAAGAAGTACATATCCTAAAGATTCAAGGTCATCCCGCCGGCTCTGCTCTGTAAAACATAGCCGAACTCATGTAAATCAAAATGGGAAATCAGAAGGTAGTACCCAATGACTGTCAACTACTACAACTTTTATCCAAGTTTAATACAGAGGCTTTACGTTTCTTTTCATGCACTTCTCTTTATTAAGAGTTGGTTAATAATGACAAAAAAGAACAAGTCTGCTTTAGTGCGTTAAGAATGCTCACCAATTCCAAGATGAGTATTACAGCTTGCATAACGTGCAGTTCCAGTTAAATTTTTGTTCTCCCTGAGTAAATGAAAAACAACAATAACTATGTTCAAAATTCCCAATTTGATATTGTTCAAAATGGAACCAAGTCACACACCATTGCAGCAAGCCCAGACTTATGAGAGTTAATTGGAATACGTAGAAGTTTAAAACAGTATGATGCAATTGTCACAATGTCACAATTTCATACAAGTATACAACGAAGACAATCAAGATAATACCAGACTAGCACACAAACAATGGATTAAGTAGATTGGATGACATGAAACAAGGGATCTCAGTACCTGTAAGGTATGTGGCGATTTGTAGTTGCGTCCCTATACCTTTTAGCAAGACCAAAATCAATGATGTAAACCTAAAGAGTAAATAGTTGAATGAGAATCACTAAGAGAGGTGGGGAGAATGGTTCGTCTTCAACACGAATAGTACAGGAACAAAAACAAAACTTATTATAATACGAAAAAACTGTGTTGCAAATGAATATGAAATAATAAAAGTCCATACGACAGAGGAGAAATAATAGAGCTGAAGCTCACAGGGTATTAGTACCTGATTTGCTTTTCGACCAAGGCCCATAAGAAAATTATCTGGTTTGATATCTCTATGTAAAAAGCCTTTAGAGTGCACATATTCAATCCTAGATATCTGCTCAATAGAAAAAGCAGTGTGTTTATTATAAAGAATCCTTATTAAGAGCTTGTGAGTATCACATTATATCAGGTGTAAGACATTGGAATTTCGGCCTTATCTGTATCAGAGTTTTGAATTTACCATCTGATCTGCAAGCATTAAGACAGTCTTCAATGAAAACTTTCTACCACAGTATACAAAGAGATCCTCTAGGCTTGGACCTAGCAAATCGAGGACTAAAGCGTTGTCCTCTCCATCCACTCCAGACCATTTTATATGGGGAATACCACCTAGTTGAAAATATTAGATAAAAGCATGTAACTTTGTAGCTACTCTACTCTCTCCCTTTGTCCCGAAAGAAGTAACTTCACATGTACTTTCTATTAAATACGGAGTACTTATTTGTTAAACAAAAACATACTTCCTCCCTGGAGAATAGTGTACAACTTGGCCTCGTAAAGAAGCTGAGGATGCTTGGTCTTATTATTCTCCTGTCAAAGACAGATTTATATTATGATTAGAACAGTGAATTACGTTGTGCATCGTGGGGTGTATACAACTAAATGGTGTACGATGAATATTTGATGCACTACTGATGGTGAATGTGGGAAGAAACTTATGTAAATGAAGTCAGAAATACATCACAAGCATGCTCAGTTTAAGTTGTCTAGCAAAACGAATAAAAATAATATCCTTCACTGATGCACAAAATCTTCTCTTACTAGTTACAAATCTTGTCCACCGTTTGTTTTGCGCTAAAAAGACCTGCATTTTTTTGCCTAACGTTCATCGCTATTTTCTCGCACAGCTTAACGCAAAAAGCTCCCCAGGGCCAGCGTTCCACGGCGTTTTGAAGAAAATTTCCAATTCTACACCAAAAATCTACCGGGAAGCATTTGTTAGTGCTTATTATCTCCAAGCCACTGATTTGCTTTGAAAAACTAGGGTTATTTGAGCCTAAAATTCCATGGAAGAATCTGATTCAAGTAAGAAATTTAATTCGTTTCAGCTTTTCAAAATTAATTTAGTTTTATTTTTAAGAATTCCTCTATATTATTTTTTCAATTGTGTTCAGTTATGTTAATCTTTGAAATTTAATAGTTTCATCATCAATTTGGTATATATAGGAAAGTAGAATATGAGTGCTCCTGGCTTGTGCATCTCTATATTTACCAATACGTTTAAATCTAATTAGATGGAATGTTTTTGGAGGAAGTAATAGGAAAATAAAATATGATTGTAATTTAAGAACATATGGTATAGCACCGAAAAGATTGCCTGAGTTTTTTTTTCATTTGTGGTATATGATTAGGTTAATCACTCCCCCTTCTTCTTTCAATCTATTGAGTGAAAGTTCTTTGCAGTTTCTTGTTCCTCATGTAGAACTTTTTCAAAAGATTCAATCTTATTTCCTAAAAAGGGATTTGCCATGAGTAGTTAGTTCTATAGTATATTGCTATAAAGATGTACTTATGGGATCATAAATAATAACATTAGAGGAACAAAAAGGATTTGAGAGTTTATGAAAATGGTCAATGACTACTGTTTTTATGAATGTTTTCTTCATAGTGTTAGAGCTGAATTCGAAGGTTTTTAGATGGCTTTGTCATAGTTTTGCGGCTGAGGTGGAGTGTGTTGCGACAAGGAACACATATGCGCAGTGGAGGATGGAGGTACTTTTCTTGAGTGTAAGGAGGGGAAATTCGCCTAAGCTTGGGTGGCGAGGAGAGAGGAAACAATAGCTAGAAGAGGAACTATGACATTAGAGGTGCAGGGGAAATGGTATTAGAGGTGCCATAATGCAAATTCACAACCTCGGCTTTTGTCATTTTACGCATGGAGTGTATGCTCCTACTCTGTAATTTTTATTTTTTATATATTACAGAATAGACCTTTTGCTTGATACTGTTGTTTTGGTTTTTGGGTGTACATTGCAGTTGTAACCTTAGGGAGTATCCATGTACCTTTTCTTCTTTTTTTAAAAGTTTTCTTTATAAAAAGGAAGCAATATATATGGATTTCAACCCTCTAATGAAAAAAACCCTGTGATGAAGGCCACATAACAACTTTGGAGTATCATTTAAATTGTACATTGTCCAATTGAGTATTCTACTAATTTTTAAACCATTAGCTTTTGTAAATGTTCAATTACCAAACAATAAAAAATCAAACACCTAATCACTAACTCTAATGCAAATAGCTAATCACTAACTTCACTAACTCTAAACTCTAACTCTAAACTCTAAAGCTCTTGCCAAACAGGCCCGTCAACGATAGGAAAACACAACATGCAGAAAGCACCAAGTATAAATGGCATACAATGATATGTGCAGAAAGTACCACCAACCCAAACGCCTACTTAACTACACTAATCCTAACTTCTGCAAGCTCTTATCTAGCGTCATATCCTCGATAAGGGCCAAAAATCTTACGGCATGTCTAATAACCTCTTTCCAACTCTTCCTAGGTCTACCCCTTCCCTACTCTTGTCCACCACCGCAAGCAATTCACATCTCCACATCCGGGCTTCAGTGATCCGCCGCCTTAGAGTTTGTTCTCTCCAACTTATTCTTATTAATTATTACTTATCAGATCACAAACAACTTTAAAAATAACCACAATTAGATCAGATGAGACTTTAATAAAACCAAATAAGATCTAATCAAATCAGACGAAGATAACAAGCTCTCACATGCCCAAACGTCCTCAACCTAGCTTCTCGCAGCTTATCCTCCACAAGTGCCACACTCCTACCCGTCCTTACATAATCTCGTTCTGAATCCAATGTCGGTTTTCTTAACTGCTCTGCACCGTACAACATAGCTAGTTTCACTACGGACTACGAACCGATAGAACTTTCCTTTAATCATAGCCAAAATCTTGTCGCATAAAACCCTTGAGGCAATTTCGACTTAGACCAACCCACCCCAATATGATGTGCAACATCCCCGTCGAATTCCCCATCCGCTTGGATGACCTAACCAAGATTCAAGAACTTGTTTCTCCTAGGCACTGGGTGGGAATCAATCACAGCTCCCACCTCTAATTTTGTTACTCGGCCATTGAAACAACATTCCATGCATTAAGTCTTATACCTACTCGGTTTGAGACCTTTGGATTCAAGGGAATGGTGTTATAGCTCCAACTTGTCATTTAGTCCCTCACGAGTCTCATCAATCAAAAAAAAGCATGCACCAAGGAACCTCCACATGAAGCAGGACATCCATCACCAAAGCAAACAAGAAGGGGCAAAGGGTAAACCCTGCTATAACCTCACCATACATATCATTGAGTACTAAAATGTATGCCATCAGGTCCCACTCAACTCACGAAACCTCCACAAAATCTCTCTTAACACCTTGTTGTACGCCTTCTCGAGGTCAATAAACACCATATGGAAATCCTTCTTAGCCATATGCTCTTCCATCAACCTGCACAGAAGGTGAATGGCCTTTGTGATTGATCGACTAGGCATGAAAATTGATTCCCGAAAATGTATAGCCCTTTCCACAGCCTAACCTCATTGATATGCTCTCAACCTTCATGATGGCTAAGAAGTTTGATGCCTCTATACTTCTCACAACTTTAAATATCAATCTTACCCTTGAAGAGCGGGACCGAGACATTCTCCCTCGAGTCAGGCATCATATTCGTCTAAAAATAACATTGAAGAGGTATTTTGGGAGGGATTTAGAGTAAAACTTTTGGGTTCCCCCCCCCCATCTTGTTAACCAAATAAGAGAAAAGAGAATGGATTCATTTTCCCTCTCCTCCCCTCTCCTCCCACCCATGGGCCATGACCCAACCAAACAAGCCCTTAGGGAAAAGGGAGTTGGTGTCCACCAAAGCACTAGCTCTAGCCAATTCTAAGAGTAAAAACCCCTCTGGATTCTTACCACCAAAGCTGAACCCTTCATGCCCCTCCTCAAAAAGCCACCAAAGCCCAGTCACCAACATGGCCATTGAAGTCGCCTCTAATGAAGACTTTCTCAGCCCATGAGATACCTCCTATCACCCCGTTCAATGCTTCCCAAAACTCTGTCTCATCATCCAAGCCGGCATGAGGGGGCAAAGACACTCACGACATTTATAACAAATCCACCTAAACACTAGCTTAATAGCCATCCACCTATCAACAATCCTCCTCACCTCCACCACAAACTTTTGCAGCTCCAGCACCACCAAAATACAAACTTTGTTACAACCTGTCTCTCATGCCTTAGTGCCTGCCCATCTAGTCTCTTGCACACATGCCACCTAAATCTCTCTCCTCTTGAGAACTTACACTAACTCAATCGACTTACCGGTGAGAGATCCTACATTTCACAAGCCAAACCGCACACATGACACTACCCTACCCCTCCACACCTTCCCCTCGCCCACACCTGGATACGACCTTAAGTCTGCATGTCCGCACAGCAACACATTCAAAGAAGCTAGCAAGCAAATTTCAAACTGCAATAACAAAATTAGAGTACAACAACACTAGAGTAAAGTAGCACAACAAAAATAATGACAAGAACACACCACAACATCAACAAGAACAACAACCCAATTGGATCCCAGGATAAACAGTAGTAGGGGAGAAAAGGAACAGTCGGTTGAGGATAGGGGTCGGTAGGGTGCGAGGTGGGGTGGGGGTGGGGCTGGCTAGATCTGGGTTGGATGAAGTGGTTGACTGTGTGGACTAGGACAGGGGGTGAGTAGGGGGCATAGTTATCATGGTGCCAAGGTGAGGCGCGCCGGCAGCGAACTGTGAGGAAACCTAGTCGCCAAGGTGACTGCCTAGGCGACAATTAGGCAACTAGTCATAAATATTATTATTCATAGAGTACAAATTTAATACTCAATATTAATATCCATTTGAAATGAATTACCAAAATTCTTATTAATTCTACAATTAGATCCATACCCTTTCTTAACAAACTAATTGTAAAAAAATTGAGCACTAATTAGTATTCCAAGGTAAGCCTTAGGGAGTAATTTATTACTTAATTGTGGAATAAAGTGGAGAAAACAAAAAAGGCAGCTTGAGTTGGGCAAAGTAGAATAAACAAATCTATAAAAAGAAAACAGATAAAACATAAAAGAAAAAAGGGAAAAGAAAAAAGAATAGAGATTCATACTGTGTTTGGCAAAGGTAGGAAGTAGAGAGGAAATTAAACTTCCATTGATTTGTTTGGTTAAAAAAAGCAGGAGGGAGTTGAACTAACTTCCCTTGTTTGGTTGAAAGAGAGCAGGGCAGAAATTCAAAATCATTATTTTATTATTGAAAATATTTATTTGTATAAACTACATATGAAGTATAATTATTAAAAATATTACTCCCTCCATCTTGCAATAGATTACAATATATTTTCTCTCAACTCTCGATAACATTGGATTATTTATGTGCTTTATTGCTTATTTGATCAAATAAAATATTCTTGTTTTGTAGCACTTTTAATTGAGTTTTTTAAAATGTAAGTTTATTTTTTATTTTTATACCAAC